ACATTCAATCATATGGACCTTTGAGATCTCTGTCATGGGAGACAGCTTGTCCTTTCACAAAATGGCTATCATAGAAGAAGGTAAGTCCCAAATAAAAGTCAGGCGGTTGAAGGAATCCCTAGGCATGGTTGGGCCACAGATATTATATTGGAAAACCTGTTACCAGATTTGAACTGCTGCACATTTTTCATTTTAAACAGCTTGCTAAAATCTCAAGCATTAAGACAAAGGATTTTATTTTAATAGTTCTTTAGTTTAAATGCTGCCAATACCAGTTACAGAAGTAAGTCTTTAACACTAAGATCTATGAAACAAATGGTGAGGTCAGTTAGGGACTGCAAACAAAAGCTTAGGAAAAGAACACCAGTTTTGTGGTTGTAATATATCAAACTGTCCAGCGAATTCAGTCAAATTCCTTTTTATCAAGACTTGATGAAAGGAACAATCTGCAAATAGAAGTCCTGCCATCAAGAATTGTCCTTCCTCCACTTCTCAATACTGATCTCTCTGCTCAGAAGGAAGTGTTTGAAATTTATGAATTCATTCATTTAGAATAGAATACTTTATTGGCCAAGTGTAATTGGACACACAAGGAATTTATCTTGGTGTAAATACTCTCAGTATACATAAAGGAAAGGTACATTTATTAAGAATCATAACGTACAACACTTAATGATAGTCCTAGGGTACAATCAAACAATCAAATCATACTAGGAAACAGTCAAGTGGGAGGGGATAGATGATAAGGAGTGGTGAGAAGATTAACAGTAATAGTAGTGTACACTTTGTAAATATTTGAACAGTGTTGAGGGAATTATTTGTTTAGCAGAGTGTTCTGAGAGCAGACTATAAAGGAGCAATCCAGTAAGATTGTGTATACACACCCATTGCTTGGCTCAGTTTGACAGCAGAACTGCAGGGAGAGTCTAAACAGACTGTAGGTGTGCAGATACAGTGGAGTGATACGATCTCCACATGGAACGCCGGTTGATGACACTGCTGCTGTTTCAGGCAGGTGAGTGCAAATGAAATGTTAAATATGGTAGATGCCAGCCTGAAAGAAATGCCGATCCTTTTCCCTTCTGTTTTCCTCACTTAATGCTGACAATGTATTATATGAGTCTTAAATTTCTTTATTCAAGTGAAGCAAGGAAGACATGGATAGCAGACTCTTTCATATTGTCCTCAGTCATGAAAACAATGATGTCATAATGACTTGTTTGAACCTTTAAATAATAAAAGAATAGGTACATTTGTTTCATTTGTGTGAAAACCTGAAAACAGAGATAAAGACTTGTATCTTGAAGATTATATATATTCCAGTTAAGTGGGTGTCACACCTAAATGTATTGTTAGACAATTAAAACCACTTTGGTGGAACTAGTTCAATAGGTATTTCAGCACAAAGGCAAATAACAATTCTCATAGTTGAACATATCTTCCACCTTTATGTGTTGGTGACTCTTTAAATATCACTGTACCCATTTTTCCATCTTCCTACAGTGATGTTTTTGTAGAAAAGTTTATTTCATGTGTTGGCTGAAATGGAGTAAACAAATGTCAGCAGAAAAATTCATGTTGATTTAAATAATGACATTAGAGGCATTGGTTTCACAATATAGAACTTGCATGCAGATTAATAAATCCTGTAAGATGCAGAGCTTCTAGTTCTGGGATTTTAACATCTTTAGTTTTGGATGAGGTTGCACTCCCCCAGGCAAACCCAATGCACAATCTGGGGATTCTCCTAGACTCATGATTCCTGCTTAATGAGCAGCTGGCAGTTGTGGCTAAGAGGCCCATTGCAGAACTTTGTGTAGTGCATCACTTGTGCCCTTTCCTGAACTGGGAGTCCCTGTACTCAGTCATTCAAGCCCTCGTCATCTCATACATGGATTGCTGCAGTGTATTTTACATGGGCTGCCTTTGAAGACTGGAAACTTCAGCTGGTGCAGAACATAGCTGCATTGGCAGTTCTTGGGATCCTAGGGCAGGGGTGTCAAATTCACGTCGTGACGTATTGTGACTTTTTCCCCCTTTTCGCTAAACCAGGGATGGGTGTGGCCACCCCTGCCGTAGGATGTCCCATGTTACACTGCTGTTCCGCAAGCTGCACTGGTTGCAGGTTTGCTTCTGGGTTCAATTCAAGGTATTGGTTATCACATTTAAAGCCCTTCATGACATGGGTTCTGGCTATCTAAGGAACTGGCTCACCCTGATGAGACTAGCCCACCCCACCAGTGCTGGTAGAAGGCGCATACTGTGAATCCTGTCAGTGAAGGAATTTTGGGTGAAAGGGTCTGTCATAGCTGCCACCCTATGTATATCATGCCCCCTGAGGTGAGATTCAAGCCCACCTTTTTGGCCTTCTGAAAGACCTTGAAGACCTGCTGTGCCAACTGGCCCTGAGACCCAATGGGAGTATGGGATTTTGGAAGTGGTTAATGGATTAGATAATATCCTCCCTGTACGCACTTTACTCCTTCCTTCTCAATATTAGTCAATTTTATTTTAACTGAATTTTAAATTTAAGTTCTAAATTTAAGATCCCTACTTTTTGTTTTAATGTTTTATACTGCATATTAATTGAATGATTGTAAGCTGCCCAGACTTGCCTCTGAGAAAATGGGTGACATATAAGTTTAATAATTAAAAATAAAAGACCAAGAACACAAAGTATTTTAAATTACTAGAAGATTCTTAAACTGATGGACTTTAAAATGTATCAGTCCAAACTCCAGAGTTAAGAAAGCTGAGATTATAAGAACCCATATAATCCAACACAATTCCAGATATTTTTCTAAGAGCCTATGTAATAATCTTTCCAGGTAAAAGAAAACACAAGGCTTTCTGTGCATTTTTAAACTTCTAAGGATTCAGCAAAACTGCCTTGCTGAATAAATACTGTAATACAATAGCCAATTTTGAAACCATACATAGGATATAAAATGTGACTGAAACCATTTTGAAATGATTTTGAATTGGTTTTGAATTTAATTGATGGGTGGTAGGAATCAATAAAAAAGGATGAAATTCACTCTTAGTTTCTTTTTACTCTAATTTCTTTGGGGCCAAATTTGCAATCTGTAAATATTCACAGATTGAATTCAGTACTAATAATTTATCACTTTGCTCATCTTAAAGTTGATAATAAACTTTTGAAAATAAACTTCTATTGAATTTTTTTTTCTAGGCTTGGAGATTCTATGCACACCCATACACAAACATATGTATTTTTCTATCAATGAGATAGAAGTTTTTTTTTCTGTGACTTGAGCAATTCTGCAACACACACATACACATACGCACACTTTAATCTTTATACTGTATATTAGAAGTAGAAGTAGAGTGCTTCTCTTTAAGCATATGCCTGCCTGTTATGACATAGAGTTTGTAATCACTACTAAGTTTTTTATTTTCTTCTTACAATAAAGTCACATATTTGTATTCAGTTTTATAGTTAAGGTTGAATACTGTGTAATAAAAATAAAATATAATATTTTCAGGCATGCATATTTCATAGTCAAAAAATCTTCTGGGAAAAAGAGCAACATAATTTTAAAACAATTCTCCAGTTTGTAGTTTTGTTTTTGTTTTGAAAATATGCCCAAGATAAACAGCAAAGAATTCTGTTTAAATCAGAAGGTTGAAAGCTTGCCCTTTTTACTTAGTTGTGTTTCCCATTCATTTGCTGTATTCCCAACATGGTCTTAATTTTCATTTTTCTTGACACCTGCGCAGCCTAAAATTAATACCTCTAGTTCATAGCAAATGTTTTGACATAAACAGTATATTCATACAGCCTATAAGAAGTGCCTTCAAAACCCTGTTCATTTTTCACTATCTAGTGCAGAAGGCAGTTTGTTGAAAGCTATTTCATGGGGGGGAAAAGAAGTTGGTTCCTCCAAAACAGCAGTGTTGCTGTGCAACTTTCTGCATGCAGGCTTGCTTGAAACCTTGAGCAATATTGCGGGGTACACCAACCCAAAGCTTCATATAAACTTCCTCTACTTTCTAACAGCCAAACACAGATAAAATGTATATATTAATGCAGAAACAGATTGTGTGAAAAGAGATAAAGTAACTATTGGATGGTACTAATCCTATGTAGTAAAATCTTAATTTCTGCCTTTGCAGTATGGAATGGTGTTCTTGCAAAAAAACACTTGGTGAATAAAAGAGGACTCATTGAATTATACAGAACCGTAAAATGTGGTACCAGCCGATTTTCTTTAGCCTATGTAGGTTACGGATGCTATTGCGGTCCAGGAGGAAGCGGATGGCCCAAGGATGAAACAGATTGGTACGTACGGCACTTCTTTCTCTATTAAGTTTGTATTTCTATTATATTCTTCAGCTGAATTAATACCACTCTGTTTAATACATTTTAAATGAGGTCAAATTTACTTTGAGACAGTTATATATGGAAAAATGGTATCATGAGATAAGAAAAAGGAAACCAAGTAACAAAATAACTGAGTACTCGGAACAGTAACGTGATATGATTAGTATAAACCCTGTTCTTTATTATGCTGGATGACATCATAATGTTGCTAAATTGAGAAGGCAATAGAACAAAAGGTTTGACCATGTGATCTCTTGTTGCAGTGGAACTAGAAATGTATTTATTTTGAATTATTACTAACATTTTCAGCCTAGATATATACACAATATATATTTATGAACGAATTTCCTTTGCTGTGTTTTCCTAAGAAACTTCAGAGAAGTAATTACTTAAAATATCCAGACTGCAATTAGCTTCATGGAAGTATTTGATTGGGCTTGTAAATGTCTCACACACCAGAACACTGTAAAACTAGAGATAGAGTTTCACATTCTGTTTGATGCTCAGGGCTCACATCAATAGTATTAATCATTCTCTGTCGCTGAAAGGTGCTGCCATAGACATGACTGCTGTTATGACTTTGCACAACGACAAGGCTGTCACCCCATAACAGACAGATATAAGTGGACTTGTCAGAACAATACTGTGATATGCGGTAAGGTACAACCTGAATGTCATTATTTTTATATACCTTATCTTAGAGTGGCACAAGTACATACAGATAGTCTAGATGTGAAATGTTCAGCTTTAATTTCAGAAGGTCCTATTGGTTTTTGAGAGATCTCCGAAGATTCATAACACTGTTCTAGGCAGACTGTTTTAAACAACTTTAATACTAACACAATATCTCATAGTTGCCTGAAGTTTCAGCTTATAAAAATACAATGTAATAGTAATTGAATTAAACCTTTCTCTGGGTTAAGAGTGATTGTGAAAGGGTATTGATTTTGATGTTGGGTATTTTAATTAACTCATTTAAATGATGTTTGACCAATAACAGTAGTATACTGCTAGCCAGAGTATCATTTTGTTTTTGTTTTCATTTTGCTAAGCATGGTGCTAGATCATGCTAGGCCACTATTGGGCTTTGACCTTAACTTAAAGCAGTTTCAATCTTTGTGTATAGACTAGTGGTGGGAAAATGGCTGTATTGAATATTGAATACAGATATATACTGCCTTGTGCTAACTTAATACCATGTACCTTTCATCAAGCTATTTGTAGCATGTTGTCAGTTTTCCAAGGTCTGTGGTTAATTTGAAGATGGAAGGGTGAAGTTTCAGACAGAAATCTTAATATGTGAAATATATCAACAGTGTTGAATTGCTACAAATTTCTATATGTTGCAATTCATAAAACACAGCTGGGCAAAATCCAGTTATTTCAGGGATGCAGGCCATTCATTGTAACCATCACTGTGATGGTTAAAAATAGTGATACAGTGTTGTTTGAGTTCAAGACATATTGAAATTGTAAGTTATGCTTCAAAATAGGCTGAACAGAACTTTAAAAAAACCAGGTCTGAAAACGCTGCAAAACCCCAGCCCTATGCAGAGCCCTGCCTACTGTGACCCTTGTTCTTGGACACTTCTCGATCTAAAGGGCAGCTCTTGATCACCCACCACCATAACAGCAAGAGCACTTAAGAGTTATCTACTATTCCGAAGTGCTTTACAGCACTTCCTGAGCTGTTTCCAGTGTCAGCAAATTGCCCCCAAATATCTGGGTCCTCATTTTACTGATCTCAGAAGGATGGAAGGCTGAGTCAGCCTTGAGCTGGTCAGGATCAAAGTTTTGTCTGTGGGCAGAATTAGCTGTAATACTGCTTTCTAACCACTGTGCCATCGCTCCTAACAGAGTACCATGATTGTGGATTTCTTAAAAATTACAGTTTTATCTAGTAGAGATTCAAATAATTTAACAACTGGTTCACCCGGGGTCAAATTGGCTGTTGTGGGAGGTGTGGCCCACCCTCACCCTCCAGTTCCACGGCACTTGCAGGACAAGCCTCCCACAATGGCCAACCTGATCCTGGGTGAAGTGGTTGGTAAATTGCCTCTCACCCATTATCAAAGTGGGTCCTGCAATGAAGAAATGGGAAATGGAGCAGCTGGCACAGAAGAGGAGGAGGAGCAGGGAGAAGAAAGTGGGAAAGCAACCACTTCCTTCCCTCATGCTAGCCACTCTGTTGCCCATTTCTCCATTGCAGTGCAGTGCCTAGGATCCACTTTGATGGTGTGTGTGTGTGAGAGAGGGTAATTTAACAATTGGTTCGCCCAAAGCGGTGTGAAATGGCTGAATCCCACCACTGGTTTTACCTCAGAGTACAGAAGAGCAGAAAGTGTTAAAAATCCTTTGCCCATTTAGTGAAAGAGGTGTTTTCTTTTTCATACTTCATATTACTCAGAAGTTTAGATTTTTGGAGAGTCATCTGTTGCTGAGACACTGCTCTCAGAATGACTCCCTTGATTCCTAAATTGCAACCTTACAAAAGAAAAATGTTTGTTTTAAAAGAGGATATGTAACATAGGACTTAATAAATAAAAATGAACATGGAGTGTACAGTGCATTGTTTTAACATATACATTAATACACATTATGTAATTGTAAGATATAGTGCCATGATGGTGGACCTATGACATGAAACTCCCTTCGTGTGCCTACCCCTGCTCATGCACACATGACCCCACCATGACCCCTGTGCAAGCACCTCGCCCCCACACATGTGCATGTGACCCCTGCCTGTGCACCACCCCACCCCATGCAGGCAAGTGTGCCCCCTGTGTGTGCCCCCCTGCACGCACCCTCTACATGCACAGCAGAGACCTGAAGACCCTGTGAATTTTGTTTTTTTTTTTAATGTCTCAAATGACTTTCAAGAATATGAAAAAATCAAAAAAGTTTCAAACAAAAAAGTTTCAAACAAAACAATCCATTATCTTTTAAAGATTATACATCTTAATAAATACCAGTTTCATAGATAAGCATGACTATTTTGTTTTTGTGGTCTACTTCATCATAACCAGAGTAGTATCTCCATACCTTTTTTTCAGATACTGTCCTAGACAGATGTCAAAACATAATTTGCCAGTGCGACAAAGAAGCAGCTTGGTGTTGGAGATTTGCACCATTCAATAAGAGCTACATCTTCTGGCCAAATTATCTTTGTGGCCGAATATCTCCTTCATGTGGCTATAGGATTTAATAGATTATTATAATAAACAATTTAAAACTGTTGAGTTTTTTTAATATTAGGGTCTTTTTCTGCACATTTTTCAACTTAAAGGCTATAAGTTTCCTAATCTTTTACACTTTTCCAGCTTCTGAAATTATGAATCATACTTTGGAATTCTGCAAATATCTAAACTACCAGTTGATGGCAGCAGAGAAACCTAACATTCCTGCCCTCTGAGGATCATCAGCTAGATACAGAGAAGTTCCATTGTTGCAGAATTATTTACTTAGAAATATATGCTGTGGAAAATGTGCATATGAACATTTAAACGTGTTACTAAATTGCATCTACCAATTTAAGAAGCTAACATGATAAAATATATGTTTACCATATGATTTCATTCTGTTTAGAAAATCAATATAATTTTATACAAATATCAAATCTTCTTTAAAAAAAGGAGGAAAGTGAGAAACAATATAAAACAGCAATGGAAGTCAGTACGGTACCAAAAAAGAAAAAAAGAATTGGGACTGTCATGTAATTTCAGTGCAAAACTAAGAGAAAAGTTGCTAGTAACAATTCATTTTACACGGGATATGATTTTGTACAGTAAATTTAAGAAGGCTCACTAGAAACTGAACAGATCTACAGAAGGATGACAAAATAGCCAGGTACAATGTGGTACTTTCAGAATCTTTTTAACTACAGATCCCTAGCCAACCTAACCAAATGAACAATTATCACCAATGTATCTGTCAAAATGTAAGCAGGAGGATGCTGATCCAAAACAAATTCATTTCTACAATTATTAGGTATATCTACTGTTATAGATTCTTTAAGTTTTTATGGTCCTGTTAACCCATATGAATGACAGACACTGGTATCAGTTCAGGCTTCAGTAGCTGACATCCTGTAATGTCCATATGACTGAGTGCATTAATGGATTTTTATATAACTTTTGTAGAGTCAATTTTGTGTGTGTGGCTGCATTGGGCACTGTGACCATTGATGTTCTTAGAATCCTGCCGTGTTAGAAAATACCCATAATAGATTTTGTAGATAAAAGATTGGGAGGCTAGCTGACCAACATTTTTTCTCTTTTGAATTTTTCTTTGGACTAGCAGCTGGCTGGAGAGCAGGCCTGGGTGGGGGAACCTAATTCTAAACCTCCAACTTCCAAGATATAGGCAGGAATCAAACCCCATAGAAATTCTAGATGAAGCCAATACCTAAACAGAATGTCACTAGGATCCATTTTATCTTTTATATATTTAACTGAAATCTTTACTGTGAAATTAGGAATTATGAGAAGAGATACATTCATCATCTTGAGTTATTTATAAAAATAAATAAGGCAAGTTGTAAATAAGTACATAAATATTTCTTTCAGGCATATTTGATTTCTCACACTGGTTTTATCCAATTATAATTTGTTCCCACATGGCCTATTTCTTTCTTTAAACTTAACACTGTGTGACATTTTTTGCTATTTTATGCTGTGAATAAACTGTCATTACTATTTTAAACTTATGCTTTTTGGCAGCATTTGCATGACCACATTATATATATATCACCATTTTAATGTCGATGTGGTTTCTGTGGGTGCCACTGCTTGACTATCATGCCCAAGCCTCGTCCCCTTTATGCAGAAATTAGGTTGCTTTTGTAAATTATCATAGCAATCATTGATAATTCATAGAGGTTTGCTCCCATTTTTTTAGTTTACCTCGGTAAAATATCCCAGTCCTCAGCTATCAATATAGGACACAAAGTATGTATTAACACTTGGTGCTGCTAATCTATCTGTTGCAAGTTTCTAAGTGCATGTTTTAATTAGAAAAATATTTGCACACGTTTTACTCTTCAAAAAGTTTTATTCTTCTCTTCCCCACCTTTACTCCATTTGCCCTATACAATGTGTAAATAGTAACCTGCATAGTACAGAATTGACAATCCATCTATAAAAAAGCCTTGATTGCTACTGTAGTCAGAAATGCAACGGCAGGAGAGGATACTCTGAAGAGTAGTAGGGGTTCAGTCTTATTCCTTCCTCCTTCTTCTGTCCCTTTCCCCTCAAACCACTTACTTAGTTTCCCAGTCTCAGTTTTTCAAAGTCTGTAATATAATTATTAACTTATATTGACTAGGAGACCATTGTCCATACTGACAAATAACTGACAAGTAAGCCATTGATTAAAATTAATTAATAAAATTGTAAACTTTTTTCATACACTCATTCAATGAATAAACTTTATATTTTTCTAAAAAAGGCATGTCATCTAAAATGATGCTAAAACATTTTAGCCCATTTTTAAAAGTAAAATACATGAACAACATATAGTTTTGCTCCTATTGATTATCTATGCAACTCTTGTCATAGCTGATATTCTTTAGTCCATTGCTCCAAATTATGCTGAAGGGGGAAGAAAAAGAAAAAGTAAATGAGCAGTAAAGTGAAAATAGTGACAAATAATATAAATCAATTGAAAATTATTCCAGATGTAGGAATCAATGCCAATCAAAAGGAATTGGACAGTAAGTTTGCCTTTCCTCTCTTAGTGGTTATTATAAGAGAATAGATTGGAAAAGCAAGAAAACCAGGTATGGTGTTAATCAGACACTAATTCAATTTCTACAAACAAAGCAAGTCAAAGCCTATCTAGAAATACCCAAAGCATTTACACGTGAATTGTTTATGTGTCTGTCTGTCTATCTATTCCTTTATATATTCATGTACCATTAGAATCTAAGACTTGTGGTTAAGAATGTAATAGTTCTGATCAAGTCAAGGGTCCTTTCAGTTCAGCGTTTTATTTCTTGCAGTGACCAACCAAAAGCATTTTAACACCTGGGACGCTAAGAAGAACATGAAGATGTACCTCTCTCCAATTATTCTCTTGATTGTAGGGTAGCACTGACTCTTCAAGACTAATAGCTCTTAAGAGACTTGTTCTCCAATTCCCTTTTAAAAGTCACCCAAGTTAGTGACCATCAGCATAGATTTTGGTAATTTATTTAACAGATTAATCATGTCTTTATTCAGTTAAAGTATAGTATCTATATAGCCCACGTTGATAATATGTATTTCAGCAACATATTTGAGTTGTGAAACTGAAACACTAATCCTTGGTTATTCTCCAGCAGTTATAAAAGGAAATACCTCAAAATGCATGTCATTCATGAATTAAATCTATGTCACTTTGACTGCGTTTTGAGTATTTGTATTGGTCTTCTATTCTGCTTCAAAACTTTTGCTAATATTTTATTGGCACGTTTAAAAAAATGGAATGAAAACAGTTGCAATAACAAAAGAAACCATTCAAAATTATTTTTAATATGCAGCATACTTTTAGGGTTATTTTCTTTGGGGACTAAATACAGAATAACATGAAAAGATCTTGAATACAAATGCCTTTACAGCAGACTTCAAACTCCTCTACAGAGCTCATCATGATTTTGCAGAAGTGCAGCTTCTTTGACAGAAGGATGTTAACATGCCTGGAGAAGCTCCTAGCCAGAAGATGCTAGCACATTCCCATAAATCCAGTCATTGCTGATTGTAAATTGTGCAATATGCTTTAATTGGCTGTTATTTAGTCAATAAGCCACAGTTAAACAATGGGTAATCCTGCTCTATGAACATTTGTTTGAGAGTCCCATCCTTTCCAGATATTTAAGATGCCACTCTGAGCCTTTTTCCTATTAGTAATTTATTTTCTAGCTTCACCCAGCCATCACTAAGGAAAAATAATACCTGTCTTCACTAGTGTTATTGTATTGACACAATTATGGTTGGATGATTTTATAAGTGAATAGGAAAAAATGGTCTTGGCACAGTGATTTTAGCATTTAATTCTTCAGTACAAGTTATTTTTTTTTATTTGTGGCTTGGGTGCTATGCAGAATATCCAGGCTTTCTCCTCCTAATATTAAGGGTATTATATCAGAATGCTTTTCTTTTCAATTGCAATATGTGTGCTAGATAGTCAACAATTTAAAAATGCATGCATACTGGTATGAAATGTATCTCCCCCATCATATAAATGAGATACAGACACACACAGAAACAGAAAGAGAAGCAATTGCAACTAACTTAAAATCAAATTTAGAACACAATAAAATAAACAAATTATAATCTACTCTTATATATAAATCAAAGGTAGTTATCTTTGGAGTGGGGGAGAACTTTAAAATGTTGGGATCTTCTGGAATGTTATGGATGCTCTCTTAAAATGGCTGCTATGGAGAATATTTTCTGTTCCTTAGAAGCTATCATATTGGGGTGCTCCGTTACAAAATACCCATGTTGTTCTCTACCTCTCTATTTTATTCTTAGCTTTTTTTTTATTTCTTTGGCAGATGAACACATTTCAAAACATTTTTTTAAAAAAATCTATGAATCTTCCAATTTATTGTGTTATTTATCTGTTAGTGTTCCATCTCAATTTCAAAACTGCCATCCCAATTTCTTATTACTTTTTCCCTTATTACTTTTTCTCAGAATAACAGCCAGGTGGAATAAGGCGGGGAGGGAGAGGGAGGGAGGGAGGGAGGGAGAGGGAGGGAGGGAGAGAGAGAGAGAGAGAGAGAGAGAGAGAGAGAGAGACCTAATCATCGTGAGAACTTCAATGGCAGAGAATCTGTTGGAATTTGGGTTTCTTGAGTTCAATTCCCATATAAGTGCATATAGTTCAATTTAATTAAACCATGCCCCCCTCTAGAGCAACTTTTGATCAGGGTATTTCCTATACATGTTTAAAATAACATTATTTCAACTTGGGAAATGTTCAAATGTCCTAAGGGAAGTAGAAGGAGCAGATGGCAATCCAGGCTAGAGAAGAGATATTGACCCTTAAAGTAAACCCAGCCATATTTACTGCTGGATCCTGATTACCTGGTCTTTTCCTTGCTGGCTGATAATTGGAAAGGTGATAGCCACAAAACCAGAGGAAGGAAACCAATCACTTTGGTTATAATTAGAATCACATTTACAAAACAGGATAAACGTTTCAGAATACAGATGGTAAAGGGATTGGCAAGGAGCATGGAAATTGATATGCTGGCTTTATTTATACAAACACATGGGTGGGGAGACAGGACATCAGCTCAGCAGAGAGGAAATTCCATAAATAATATTGGTTTGGATAAATAAATAGACTAACCAGGGAAATGCATCTTCTTATATTTCATTAATGCATCTTCTTATATATCATTAAGACTTCACACGAAAGATATCATATACTAGGGATTAATGTTACACTTAGATTGTTATAACTGGGCAAAACATCTTTAGGAAACAACAGAAATATGTTTATACAACTTTTTTAGGTGACAATTTTGAACAAGCTAAAAAAAAGTGCTTGACCACACGGATGCCTTGCATTTATTAGAATTGCATACATTTAATTTATTAAATGATCATGCATTTCATACTCTACCTTGAGGGGCT